CTGTGCTATAAAGTCTGGACAGTGAGCTATTAAATAAATACTCAGCAGCTTTTTGAGAGGGCACCCTGCACTTACTCCATGTGGGTTTTTCCTTATCTGAGCCCACAGAAAGGTAGGGGTTGTTTCGGATGGCGTGGGTTACCTTTGTTTGCCACGAAAGTCACTCAAAGTCAACAGCCACCAACAAGGAAGTACAACCTTTATTCTAGAAACGCTTTGGAGTCCATTACTCTTATTAAGCAAGCTAGTGGCTCCTTTTCCCACTTACACTGAGGCAAGGAGTTGCAGTGAAATAAAGCATCTACTATTTTCCAGCTGCACCTGAAATCTCTAACCCTTTCTAGAGAAGACTTGTCTAGAGTGAAGAAGTAGTTTTGATTTAAATCATCCCTATTTGAAATAAAAGTTAAACTCCTCTTCCTCCTCCAATATTTCTAATTTTTTTTTCTATTATTCTCTGAGCAGGGGCAGGTGGCTCTGATTTTAGCTGCAGCTGGACTCCAGCTTCTTTGCTCCACTTGCATCATTTCATCTAACACGCTCCTCTGGGGCTGCAAGAACTTCACGCTTCCATCTCAGCCTAGAGGTGAAAGCAACGAGGAGAAGTTACACCATGTAATTATAGTTATTATGCCAGTTAATAGAGCTCCTCACAGCATAAACACTGTTAGCACGAGTCACTGTCGGGAATAGCTGTGTCTCCAGCTCTGCTCTTGCTGTCGGAGACTCGGCACAGATCTGAGCCCAAGCCCAGATCTGAAGAGCAAACCCTAGTACCTGCCAGCTCACACATGGGGCCAAATCTCTCCCTGGGCTTGGGCAAACTTCTGGATTTGAGAGCTTGAGTGTGATTAGAGAGGAATAATGTCGTGCTGAAATGTGTGATCCGAGCAGACTGTGTTCAGGCTTCAGGTCTACCAGCTTTCTTTTTGCACTTGGAGTCACTCCATTGCCTTGTCCACAAAAAACCAGGTTTACCCTGAAACCCTCACTCTTACCATGTGTTTTTCCCATCCAAATGGCAGGGAATATTGCAGTCCCCTTTCTCTCTCCCTCTTGTCTTGACAGTAAGGTGCTGACATGCTATTTTGATAGTCTACTTTTAAAAAGATAAATGCACATTTATACAAAAGTTTTAAAACAATTCCTTTTGGGGGGAAGATCAGAGGTGACAAAGTTGTGACAGAACTTGGATTTAGTTAATTGGATCTAGCTATTTGCACCATCTTTTGCTAACTGACTGTGCCAGTCCCAGGCTGGGAAAGCAATTTAACTCATTGCCTGTGAAAAATGAAATGACAGCAGCTACTTGAGTGAACTTTCACATTAACGAGCATGATCTGATCTTGATCAAAGACTTTATGTTACTGGGGGACCAGAGTTCAAGCACTGGCCTCTAATTTTGAAGGCAGAAAAGGTTTGTGTGTCATTGCAAGGCAAACTCTTCGGAGTTTAAGCCCAAGGTAAACTTTCATGTCAGTGCTGTTAGTGACCCTATACTGAAGCTTGACTTGATCATCTCTTCCTTTAATTCTCACTGTCATATGCTGCCTCCTGCTCAGCAGCATTGGTTTCACCCATTAAAGCAGTGAGAAGTGATGCTATCATTAGCTGTTGCTGCTGGGCACTTTTGGATCACGTCATGCATCTTGCGGGTTGTTCCAACAAAACAAGCTCTGAGGAGCAGGGTTGGGATCCGAGAGAGGCAGAGACCAGCTTTGGGTGGCAACAAGCCATAAAATTGTCCTTGCAGATCTGGTGTAACCAGATCAGCTAATAAACCTCTGGAATGCTGATGCCATGGTTGATCTGGTCATACCAGAGAAACCATCTCTTACAAGCCGGATGCCAGGAACCAAATCATGCAGCACGCCACGAGCAGCTAATACCAAAGAGCACTGTTGCTGTGTATGAATGGGACTGTTCCTGTGCTGAATAATCTCTGTGATCTCACACACTGTCCCCAAAACACACGTGCTGTAAGCTTTTTTTGGCATTTGGTGCCATGATAATATTGATTGACACATCAGTGCAACAGGGTGACAATATAAGGGATTGCAGCCATGGGCATCAGTCATTTTGCAAATCTCAGCACCACTGGTGTGGGGTAGAAAGCCATTGTGAGCATTATTAGAAGAAGACAAATGTTGTTACAGAGGGATCTGTGGCCCTGCAGATACCTATATCAGGTAGAAGTGAAGGAAAATTGTCAAATGCAAGGATGGTCACCATGAACAAAGGTCCATCCTTTTCTATTTCACTGCCTCTGACCTTCAGCCTGCTCCAGGATGAGTCAAACACATCCCTCCCAAAGCCTGACAGCATTGCTACTGTCCTTCATGCAGAATTTCACCACTGCTGGGTTGCTCTGCAGCCTTACCACAGCTCCTCTTCAAGACTGGCTCTTGCTCTGAAAGCCAAGGCATCCCTGAAAGGTGATCCTGTAGATCCTGGATGGTTAGTAAAAGTTATTTAGAAGGCCTATCTTGCAAATCAAATTACAGAGAGATACTTTCACAGGAACCAGGGCTTAGAAACTGAGCTGATGTTGAAGGGGAAGGGTGCCCTGCGTTCAGGGCTCCTGTGAGTTCCTGGCTGCACCCCAGGTGTGTGAGGTTGCCTAAGGTGAGTCATCTGGGGCTCCGTTTCCCCAGCTGTAAAGCAGGGATAATGCTTCTGTTCTCACCTCAGTTTGTCTTCTCTGTTTAGATTTCAAGCTCCTCAGGGCTGTGTCTTGATACAAGTATGTACAGTTCCTAGCTTAATAGAGTCATGATCCAAACTGAAGCCTCCAGGCACTCCTGGATATTATATCATTGCTACTTTCACAAGAGGTTGCAATCAAATTCCTGTATCGGGAAAAAAAAAAAATCCCAGAAAGGAATAAAGCAAGCTATTAAACTGAGGAGCATTTTTGCTGAAGTGGAAATAATGGTACTTTGTCCCAAAATGTATAAAATATGTATTGCAATTAAATTCTCTATTGGCAAATTGCTCTACAATTAAAAAACACAGAAGCTTGAGTGAGGCAATTAGAATAATAGTAGAGTGTTAATTATAGCTTGATGGATTCTGCATGCTGTCAGCAATTACCTTCCAAGTGTGCACTTCTGAACTGACTCCAAATCCACAAAAAGACACCGACAGAATTAGAAATATCTTCCTTGTTGGCATGCCTTTGCCATTTTAAAATTTGTTTTCATAATACTTTTGTAAGCTATTTAATTAGATTTAATGAGGTTCAAGGAAGAAACATCCTCCATGCTGTACATAGACTTCTCTCCAGCACAGGCATTAGCTTGGGGAGGAGGGAAAGCACAACTGAGAGCTGTCTCAGCTTCTACCAACTGCCCTTATTTTCAGTGCATGGAGATCTTGTGCAAATGCAAGGTGATTTTACCCAGTTTCTAGAACAGTTCCTTCTACATTTCTGTTTTATAAAGGTTATCTAAAGCTCTTGGATCTCTTTCTCCATGGGAAAATCCATGGTCATCCTCTTGCCTCTTGCCCTCATATTAAAAAACATTAATGGTTAAAATTAGCTTAAAAGTTTCATTGTCAAATCTGAAAACACTGTAAAAGAACCAAAAGTTTATTATTTTTATGGTGCCTTCCCTACTGGGCAAGAGAAATGCTCTCCATAAAAGTGCCTTAGACTTTGAGTTTCCCACATTGAGGAACTAAAGAAGTATTTATTTGTATAAGACTGTAATATTTTCTATAATACATCTACTCTTTCTGCATCAGGTCCCCTCCCCAAGGATGGGAAGTCTTGCTCTTACTTTGCAAAAAGCTTTCAAATAAATCAGGAGACTAAATATCAGTTATTCTCCTGTTTACTTCCGTTCTTGAAGGCTGAAGTAAGACCCTAAACCATAATAATATGAATATATTTTTAATCTCTCCCCTCTTTGTAATCAAAAGCTTAAATCCCAAGTTTTACCTAGCCTTTGCAATGATTGAGTTTTCTGTCTGTCATCAGTCTCTGCAATCTGATACATTCAAAGCTGTCCCAAAAGCCAAATAGTTCTTGTGCAGGTGGCTGTCAGGAGTAAATAGAGGAACGGGGAACTGCTGTGCCAGTAATAGCAGTAATGTATGGTTGAGATTCAGGTGAGGATGCTGTGATATGTGTTTCTCTCCATAAAATATGCCCTCTCTCCCCAGGCAGCTCCTGGTGTAAGGGGTTAAACCACACTCCCACCCGCCTTCCAACAGTGTCCTCCCCTAAATGCTGTGTCGAGCCACATCCAAACTTGACCAGAGCCAGTTGGACGCTCTCCACTAAGCTCAGAAGCAGCCTCTAAAGTCAGTCCGTGGGGTGTATCGATGCTCTGAGCTGAGCTGTGCCCGTGATGCTCTCGGTGCGGCTCTTGGTGAGTCACACTTCGACCCGGGTGTGCTCCTTTTACATCTGCCGTGTGCTGGGCTTCCAAACACAGCGGCATATTTGGGAAGCGCAGCAGCGTGGATCGATCGATCCACTCGGGGATCGCGTGGACGGGGTCGTGGCAGGACACACTGTGGAGAGTGTGGCCCCACAGGCGCTTCGCGGCGCCCAGAGGAGGGCTCGCTGGGCTGCAGGGAAGCCCCCATCGCCTGGTGTCCCAGCAGGTCTCCCCCACCCGCGGGAGGGAGGTTCGCGTCCCGCGGGGAGGGCGCGGCGGGCGCGGCCCCTTTAAGAGGCGCCGCGCGGGGGGGGGCGCGTTCACACCTGGAGTGGCAAAGGGGGGCGGGCCCCGGCGCCGCTGATTGACAGGCGGAGAGCACCAATGGAGTCCGCGACGGCGCGCCGGGGGGGGCTTCCGACCAATGGCGGCGCGGCGGGGCCGCCCGGCAGCCAATGGGCGGGCGCGCGGGGGGCGGCGCGCATACATGTTGCGGTGTGGCCAACGTGGGTCCGCGGCGAGCGGCGCTCGGGGCGGGCGGGACGGAGGGAGGAGAGAGCGGAGGCACCACCGGGACACGGCGCGGCGGGCACGGCCAGCGCTCCGGGCACGGGCAGCGCCAGCGCCCGCCGGCTGAAAGGACGAGGAGGAGGCGCTTTCCGCGGCGGAGGACGCGCACTGTGCCCGCCCGGCGGTGGATGCCGGTGAGCCGTGAGCGCCCCGCGGGGCCGGCGGGCGAGGCGATGGTGCGGGCGGCGGAGCGGCGCTGAGCGCTCCCGCCACCGCCGCCGCCTCCTCCTCCTCCCGCCGCGGACGCTGCCCCGGTGCCGGATACAAAATGGCGCTGCCGTCACGGGCGGCGCTGCTGCTGCTGCTGCTGGGGCCGCTGGGCTCGGCCGCCGCCGCGGGCTGCCCCGCCGGCTGCTCCTGCGGCGGGGACACGCTGGGATGCGGCGGGCTGGCGCTGCCCGCCCTGCCCCGGGACCTGCCCCGCTGGCCGCGGCACGTGTGAGTACCGGGGGGCTGCGGGCACGGGGGGCGAGCGGCGCGGGGGCACCCGCGGGGACGAGGTGTGTGGGTGGCCGAACCTGCGCTCGCTGGCGCGTTGTCAGCGACGGGAAAACTTCCAGCAGAAATCCCCGCAAAACTCCGGGTGGTTGGTTTGTCGGAGCGGAGCGGGCGGTACCGCCTTGCGGGCGCGGTGCGGGGCTTGGCCCGCGGTGCGCTGTCCCCCTCGGGGTCCCGCCCGGGGTGATGGAGGACACCGGGAGCGATGCCGGTCCCGCGACAAAGGTGGGAGCTCGGGGCTGCCCCCGCCGCCCGCTCCCGTGCGGGGCTGGCGCTCCCTCTGCGCCGGGCGGGCGTCCCGGAGGAAGGGAAGCTGGGAGCGGGTTTGGTGTCTTAACGATGGGATCTGCTGGAGATAACGGCCAGCGTGGGCTCCCGAATCCTTATTAGGACATCATCCATCCATCCATCCATCCCCGCTGTCCCGGCGCTGGGAGCGGGGCGCGCCCAGCATCGCGCAGGGGTGGCCGAATTCGGACCGCCAGGACCGGGGCCGCGATCGCCCTTTTGGCCCTTCCGTGCTGTCAGCTTTTTAGGGTGTGAGTTTCGGGGGAGGTCGAAACGGAGTCGCGGGCTGTTGGGGTGTTTCGATAAAATCCAGGTGTTTTTCAGTGAAAGCGGCGCTCCCCAAGTACTTGTCCGTGTAGCGAGGTCATTAACCTGCAGCGTTGCGTGTGTCCTGGACGGCAGCAGAGCTTAGAGCCCCGCACCTGGGGGTTGGGGCAGCACTGTGGGGTGGGTTTTATCCCTAGAAGGGTGTTTTAAGGTGCTCAGGTACGTGCCCAAGCGCAGGACGGGGGCACTGCGACTTCCCGCTCCGATTGTGTGATCGCTGCTCTGGGCTGGTAAAAGCTGGAATAAAACATCAGACACCTTGAAGCTCGAGAACTTCGGGGGAGAAAGGCTTTGACAGCTCAAGGCGTTTGACAGTCCAGGAGGACAGAGAGTTAAGGATGTGTATGCTCACAAACTTGTAAAAAGTGCCCTCGACTATGAGTAAAACTCTGGAAAATAAGGATCCAGGAATTGAGAGGGAAAACAGTGCTTCTGTCGTGTGGCCTTTCTGCTGTTTGAACAGATTTATAGATTATTGAATCTATAAAACCCCTGGTTGTAATAGATACTTCTCAGCTCTGCCAGGAGAGAGAACGGTCACTGAAGTGTTGCTGGAGATCGTCCAGCTCCTTATTAAGAAGAATTATTAGAGGTTTGTCAGATCCTCCTGGTGGTATTCACTTCTGGCTGCAGAAATGCCTTCTTTTACTTGAAATTATCAGGTGTCATACCGAGAGGAACGTGTGGCCTCTGCGTTAAAACCCTGACTCATCCCATTCACCTGTTGCTGAGCACTCTGAAGGATCCTTCCCTCAGCCGTGGGCACCTTTCAGAGCGAGCTTTTAGTCTTGTCAGCATAATTCCAGCATTCCCATGCACCTCTTAAAATAGGACAGTGTATCTTTGTTCGGGCAGGGAAATGCGTTAATAGCCCAGACAGAACAAATTTATTGTTGTGTGTTTTTTTTTCCGGAGTGCTAATACCCAGGAGTGTCTTTTTCATATGGAACAGATTTTTGAGTGTCTTGTGTTCATTTTGAATTTTATTGGTAAGGTAATAGCACGTATAAATCTTCTGCTGCGGACCTGTGGGCCGTTGGTCGCTTAGCCACTTGAAATATGGTTTGTAACTTTGTTCTAAACTAGCCAAAGAATTGGTTAAAGTGATGGTTTTCGTATCTGAAAATGCAAAATTAAGGCTTTCTTTCCTACTCCATAGCTAGTATAAAAAGCAAACGTTGAAGCTATTGTAAATACGCTCGTTCTTAAAGCAATACTGTTTCTAATTACTAAAATTGCTTAAAATTGCTTATTTCAGTTTAGGAACCAAGATGAAGCACGTTTTTCATGCTTGGTAGGATCATAAATGCTGGTTTTTTTGCTGCGGAGTTGCTAACTCTTTTAGTAGTTTAATATCCTCTATAAAAGCACCACGTGCTGGAGAAAAGTTACCTCTGCAACTATCTGTTACTTTTGTTTGTTTGTTTGGGGTAACGTGAGGGTTTGCAGTGGTCCATGGCTGATGCTCGAGGGCAGCCCGGGCAGTGCGGGTTCCCCAGCCACAGGCTGGGGTGAGATGGGTGATGCTGGAGCTGTGCATCCCTCATCTCCATCACTTCTGGGCAGGCTGTGTCCCGCCGGAGGTGTCTGCTCCCCCGGGGGGATAAGCTCGGGCTGGTTCGATCGCTGATGGGTGACGGGATAAATCCAGTTTCCAGTGACTGTGGTGGCTGTGCTTTAACTTCATTAAAACTCTATTGAACAGTCCCTCCTTAGCAGTTTATCTTTATTCCTAACGAGTGCCACAATGCCGGGGCAGTGCTTGGAGTCGGTTTTCAGTGTGTTGGAGATAAAGCTTTTGTTTGTAGGGGTGGAAATGCTGCTCGGCACGCCGGGGAGGGTTCTGGAACAGACTTAATCACGGCGCGTATTTTGTCAACAGGACTATCAGTACCGAGGAAAAGCACTGGGACTTTTGGAAACTATTGTTATTTCTCTGTTGGCAGTAGAGCTCGTAGTTGTAATTTTTCTCCCAAGCTTTCAAAAGTAATAACTGATATGCAGAGGGGCTGCAGTCGCTTACAGTTAATGTAGTGTGGCATAAGATGTGTGAGGTTTTTTGTTTTGTTATTCTGGGGGTTTGGGTGGTTTTTTCCTGTTTGTTTTATTTTGGTTTTTTTGTTGGTTTTGTTTTGTTTTTCTTAAAAGCAGCGGACACCTCAGCGTTGTGTGCCAGTTATATAAGTGTGCTTGACTTGCTGAGGGCACGTTGCAACACTCTGCCATGACCCATCCTGTCCTTGCACCAGCACCCAGCCTGCTGCAAGCTCTGCAGCTGGGAAAGGTCCATGGGGAATGTCGGCAGAGCCAAACTGTGCTGGGCAGTTGCTGTGCACAGGGATCCTTTGCGGTGCCTCACTTGGAAGATGCTCAAGGTGCTTTGTGTCTTTAAGTGTTCAAGTCTGAAACTTGTTTCCGCATTGGAGTGTAAAGTGCGGCATAAAGTGCGGGGCCAAGCTTAAGTATAAAATGTTTAATGCTCCAAAAGGCCAGGGCTCCAGCAGCACTGGGGACATGGCACATCCCCCGGCATCCTCTGCTTCTGTCTCTCCACGCATCTTAATGTTTGAGGAGTGACAGAAGATATTTCCTGTAGGCATCGTGTATTGTTTTTCCTTACTATTTAGTGACAAAGCAATAGTATTTTTGGTGTGGATTTTTGGTGAGAAGATTTCAAGGCAGTGAGACTGCAGTTGGATAGCCAATTCATTGCTGGTATGGGCTGCAGGAAAGGAAGTTCTTACTTTAAACAGATGTATTGTGTATTTTTGATCCAAATGACTAGGGTATGTTTTTGGGGATACTGAGCATCCGTGCCTGGACCCTTCTGCCTCTCTGTCAGTGTGCATGTGCCTGGCATGTCTGGGAAAATGCACGGTCCTCAAGTGCCCAGGAGAGCTGGGCTGAGAGCTGCTCTCTGTTTCCCAGGGTTTGACTATATGGATAAGTTGCCCCGAGGCACCAGCTGCGTGGCTGTTGGCTCTTTGCACGGTGCTGCTGCTCTCTGGAGAGATCCAGGCAAAGTGTCTGGATGCTTTTTAAAGTCCTGTGGGTCCCTGTCAGTAGTTTTAGGGCCTGGAAATGCATTTCAACTAGAAGTCAGGAGCAGACTCTTGCTGTGTTCAAGTGTATACATACAAAGAGATATTGTTAAAGGCAACGAAACTGAATGTTTGTGCTCAAAATTACCAATAAACTGATATTTCTTGCTAAACTTGGGTTTTAATGTGTCAGGTCTCTTTGCTTTGCTCTCACATGTTAGAGGGTAGAAGTTTACTTGGTAATGGGCTGTACTGCTGCAGGTTGCATGGGACTTTGGGAGAAGGACATCAGTTGCTCTTGAGCTCTGGAATAACTCATTCTCCTGCAGATGCTGGAAAAGGAGGTGGTGCAGGGACTGTCCTGCTGACAGTTGCTGGGAGAGGGGAGTGCTGCTGGCAGCACCTCTCCTGCATGTCCTACTTCCAGGCCTGCTGAAATAATGGAACAAAGATTAAGTAATCGTCACCCTGGGCTCCTGGTGCCTGGCCCTGTGCAGCTGCAGAGACCTCACCGAGTGCTTGAAGGATGGCTTGGGACAGGGATGTGGGTTGGTGCAGGTGGCTGGTCTCCCTCCTTCCTCCTGGGGTAACAGAGTAAAAACCCAAAGAAACGCTGCAAAACCAGCGGCTCCCTCCTCCATGATGGTACAAGGAGGGTTTCCTGCTCAGATGGGACAGTGCTGGGAGCTGGTGGTGCTTTGAAAACGAAATCCTGCTTGGCTTGCTATTCCACACTTGGATTTGGTGCTTCCTGGACCATTGTCCTTGTCAGTGGTCCTGCTGGGGATAGTCTCCAGCCCCAGGGCTGCAGGATGGCTCTGCACCCCAAGGGATTGCAGTTCCTGCGCTGGAGCTTGGCCCTGGTGGGTAACAGCAGAGCCTCTCCTTGCAAAATGATGCCTCTGTGGGCCTGCTGCTTAAGCACAAATAAATACATGTGCTCGCAAGTAAATCCACCCCTCCTGTGAGAACATGTGTTGGTGGATTCGCTGACCACCCTCAGCATGCCTCAGTATTTATCAGCTCTTACAGGAGAGCCACAGTTAACAGCAAACCCTCTGCATCTGCTGTTCATCCCGGACTGAGCCTCGGCCGGGGCAGAAAGCGGCTCATTGGACTAGGATTAGAAATACACGTGAGATTCTTAACGAAGGATAAAATACCCCCACCAAGAAGCCTTTTTGGCTCTCGCTGAAGCCCCTGGCTTCAAGTGAAAGGCTCTAGGACCCCCTCAGCCTCCTCTGCATATTCCTCTCTCCTTTTGAGAAACTTCATGGCATTTAA